CACTGCTGACCATCTCGTCCAGGTATGAAAATGTCCTCCCATTCGAGACACTCCCCCAACACTGGGCAGGAGTGGGAACCCATTTGGAGTGCAGGAATTAAGTTCCCTATGGGGGGAGTCGGTCACCCTGAGGCTCGGGTCTCTCTGGTTCCTCCCCAGCTCGGGAAGAGGCGGTGGCAGGAGGGTGGGGGCCTGGGGAAGCAGGAGAGAATGCCTGCTCAAGTGGGAGAGGGGCCAAGCCCACCGGCATCCCTGGTACGGCCAGCTGGTGGCAGCAAGGCTGCCCACAGACCACCGTGCACGCGGCCAGCTCCAGAACAGCTGTGTGAACGCGGGGCAGCACTGTCGCTCAGAGCCAGGGTCTGCCACCAATTAATTTCGCCACCCTGGTGGCGTCCCTAACTCTTCCGAGCCATTTCCCCGTTTCCCCCCGTCTGTGATCATCACGGGGCCGTAGGGAGGCCTGAGCAGAAAGCACATGCAAAGTGCCCGCCTGGCAGCCCGGGGGGCCTGGGGGAGGTTGGCCACTTGTTATCACTGGCCTGCAGCTGCAGTTTGTGGGAGGACACAGTAGCTATGTTTGACATCTGTGACCACCAGGAACTGGATCCAGAGTAGAGCCATAGACGGTGCCCTCGGGCCCTTGGCCAGGGGATGTGGCACTTGTCGCCTAGGAGCTGAGTCAACAGGAAGAGGGCCAGGCTGCTCAGGAGCCCTGGGAAGCCCCTGGTCTTGAGGCTGGGGTTTATAGCATCTCCTTTTCAGCAGAGAGAGAACACTCCTGGCTCTGTCCACAAAGCGTTGGGGGTCCTGTGCTGTCGCCCTCCGGTTCCCATCCTGGGGCTTCCTAGAGGACAGACAGGCCTGTGTGCAGGCCAGGCATAGAGCAGGGTCCCGTGAGCCCCGGAGGGGATTCCCAGACCTCAGTTCTGCGGTCATTTCAGGGGTAGTGGGGTGCTATGCTGGTTTTGCAGTTTGTGGAGGCCACTGTGGCATGAGGGTGGGGCCCTGCACTCGGGAGTCTGACGAGCCAACAGCAGACCCCAGCTCACCATCGCCAGCGGCACTCCCAGGCCAGGCCTTCGGAAACTCTGGGCCTCAGCGATCGACACCCCAGCATTGCCAGGAAGGACCCAGAGATGGTGGGCACGTAGATCTGCTCTGTGCACAGCAGCTGGGTCACAGCAGATGGGCTGAAGGGCCCCAGGAGCCCCCAGAGCCCCAGGAAGCAAGGGTCCTCCCCTCTCCGGGTTGAGGGAAGGCAGCACTGCTGGTCCCACCATGGGGACCGGGAGGGCAGGAGCACGTGGGAGCCTGGACTCTGGGCCAGAAAATGAGCAGAAGCTTCCTGTGGCGGATCGGGTGTGCTCCCCCGGCCCTGAGAGGGCGGGGCTGGTGTCCACATTTCGGTTGAGAAGAAAGCAGTTGGCTCAGGGTCACACAGCTCTCGAGGGGAAGAGGTGAGGGCTCTTCTATCGCATCTTCTCAGGTGACAAGGAAGAACTAACAAAAACACGTGCGCCCAAGGGCTCCCAGCTCAGGACCGCTCTGAGAATGAACGTTTAATGAGCCCCTCAGCTTCAAAACATGGCCTCACCTGGAAGAGACCAGTCATTGTCCCCACCTGTGACAGGGCCTGCTGGGGTGACAGACCAGAGGGTGGAGTCCCCTGGACTGTGATAAGTGGCAGGCCATCTGCTGGCCCCTTTGCCACCATCCTCTCCCGCAGACACGGGGGTGTGGAGCCCCTGGCCAGGCCCCAGCAGGGTACGTGGCTCTGCTGCTGCCCTGGGTCCCTGCCCTCTAGCCCAAGCACCACCAGGAGCCAGGGACAGCCAGAGGAGCTGGTTTCCTGTCTGGAAGGCGTGCTGTGCCCTCCCTGCAGGCTGAGGGGATGGTAAGGTGACCACGGTCACGGATGAATGGCCTCTGTAGAGCTTAACCCCCACCGCCCACCAATGGCCCCATGGAAACGAGGGGCAGTAACCCGCAGTCCTGGAGACAGACCCGGCTAGGGTCCTTACAGGGCTCTACTACCATGGGGTGAAAGGAGGAGGTGAGAGGCAGCCTGCAAAGACGGGATTTTCTCCTTAGTTACTGGACTTGATTGGCAACTTCTCCTTTGCATTTCCATCTCTGCTCTTTGTGTCCAGGATCCAGCAGACCACAGGGAGCAGAGGGACCTCGTCTTGTTGACCTTTGCACTCCAGCATCTATGTGGATGGACTGTGATCTTGACAACCAACCCTTACATGAGGAGTCCTACTGTGACCTCCATTCACACCTGAGGATACCAAGGTGCAGACAATAACTTGCCCAAGGGTGCACAGCCAGGGGAGTCAGGACTCCTGGAAATGACATCCCCACAGACATGCAGGAATACGTAACTCACAACTTTAGGAAAAGAGTGCATGGCAGAAGCAGCCAGCCCTCCCCCACTTCTTAGTGGGATTTTGGTGAGATGAGGTTTTGGAGTGTTAAATGGACTCTGTAGTCGTAATATCCAAGTTGAATCCTGGCTCCAACCTCCTGGCAAATGCCTTATGTCTCACTATGTCTGGTTTCTCATCTGTAAAGTGAGGCTGTTAACACCCATAGAGTGCTTACAACGCTTGGCACGCTGTGAGCCCTCAGTGAGAACTGCTACCATTATTAGCACATATACAGACACCATCCAGACGTGAGGTGGTGTCATTACTAGTGTGATAAAGTGAGGCAACTGTCCCTGAAAATGCTATTAACTAACCACACGGGTGATGCAAGGCCAGCGGTGGGCTCTGAAGCAGCTGTTCACTTCCCGCTCTCTGCGTTCGCAGCAGCACGGAGCTGGTGATGCCATCCAACGGGCTGCTTTCAAGAAAAACCAGGGACAGGGACTTCCTTTGTGTACTGGACTGCTGCACAGATAAAGCCCTCCTGGGCAGTCAGCGCCATCACGGCATGTGCTCAGAGCCTGTCAGGGTGGCATCTGTAGTGGCAGAAGCAGCAGTCACAAGCAGGGACCTGAGCACTGAACCCCCAAGGACAGTTCCAAAGACACTTAGCTGTGACGTCAGCATTCCTGGGTCCAGGGTCAGGCCAGAGGCCTGTGTCTGCATTCGAGTGCACCAAACAGCCCTGGGTAACAGGGTCACTCAGCACCCACCCTGCTCTTGCTGGTATGGGCATCTGTGAAGCAAGTGTGCTGACAGTGTTTACAGAATCACAGCAAAAGGTGACAGCCATCAGATGCCTGTGTGAGCTTAGGTAGATCAAGAGGAAAGGTGTCTGTACGCACCAGCTCAGGTTCTGCACCAACCTCAGGTACACCTATGAAGGGGCCATCCTGGTGACACAGGTGTCACTTCCTATCAGTCAAGGGAAGGACTCGATAAAAATGGTGCTGGGGTGGCTGGCCAACTATCTGGGGAAAAATACAGCCAAATCCTTAAGTCTCGATCCTTGTACACAACATATGTGCTTCAAAGATGAACTCTACATAACTGTATGGGTGCTTGAGAAACACGGGAAGACTTTTATACTCTTGGTGGAGAAAGCATTTCAAAACACACCTATACATCCCAGAAACAATAAAGAAAAATATGATAAAACAAAATTTAAATACCTCTGTATGGAACCCATTCTCCTCTGTCCCCAGATAAAAGGCACACAAGCTAATAAAGAAAACAGTATTTGTCTCTCTATAACCAAAGTTGAGTGTTATTAACAGCTTATAGAATGGTGAGAAAATGGATGCTCAAGTTCAAAAATAGGCCCTAAAGGACCTCTTCTTTTCCATGATGTTTGTGACACTGTGACATGCAGCAGTAGGCACTCCAGAGGTTAGAATTTCCCTTCAAGAGCAATGCATAAGATACAAGGGATCTTCAAAAAGTTCATGGAAAAGTCATATTATGAAAAACCTATGCATGGATTTCAAAATTCTTCTGCACCAAAATAAACTCATACTAACTTGTTATATAACATGTCTGAATAGGATCTAGTCTGGAGGCTGGAAGGATAAGACATTAGTTTGAAAAGAGCCCTATCAGACCAACATGAATTCCACTAAAATTGAAGATCAAATTTATGGTGAAGCTTGGATAGAAGAATGGTGAAATTACTGAGCTGCTTTTCAGAAAGTTTATGGGGACAATCTCCCAAAGAAATCAGCAGTTTACCAATGGATAACTTGTTTTAAGGATGGGCGAGACGATGTTGCTGATGATGCCTGTAGCGGCAGATCATCCACACCAATTTTTGAGGGAAAAATTCTTGCTCATGCCCTGAGGCAGACAACAGCCAACACTGCAGACATCTCAACTGGTTCAGCTTACACAATTCTGACTGAAAAACTAAAGCTGAGCAAACTTTCTGCTTGATGGGTCCAGATCAGCTGCAGACAAGAGCAGAACCTCCAAAGGAAATTTTAAACAAGTGGAATCCTCAAGTATTTCTCTGAAGAACTGTACAGGAGATAAGACATGGCTTTGCCAGTACAGTCCTGAAGTCAGAGCACAGTCCAAGCATTGGCCACCAAGAGGTGGACGTGGTCTGCTCAAAGCAAACGTGGACCAGTCAAGAGCGAAAGTCACGGCAACAGTTTTTGGGGATGTTTACGGCATTTTGCTTGTTGATTATCTGGAGGAACAAAGAATGATAACATCTGCTTATTGAGGGTGTTTTGAGAAAGTTAGCCAAAGCTTTAGCAGAAAAACTCCAGGGAGAGCTTCACTAGAGAGTCCTTCTCCACCACAACACTCCTGCTCACTCCTCTCACCACACAGGGAAATTCTGGAAGAGTTTTCACGGAAAATTATTATAGTCCTGATTCGGTTCCTTCTGACTTCATTTTGTTTCCTAATCTTAAAAAATTTGTAAAGGGCACCTGTTTTTCTTCAGTTAAGAATGTAAAAAAGGCTGCATGGATATGGTTAAGTTCCCAAGACCCTTAATTCTTTAGGGATGGACTAAATGGCTGGTAACATTGACAAAGTGTCTTGAACCTGACAGAGCTTATGTTGAGAAATGCAGTTTATATTTTATCTTTTAATTCCATTTTTCCATGAACTTTCTGAAGTCTCTTTGTACATGTTTAAGGATGTCCATAGAAATGTTCAGATACTGAATAAACAAAAATTCTAAATGTTTTATCAATGACGGACATGTAAATTTATACAATAGAATACAGCTATAAAAATAATTATGTAGCTCTATAATCACTGACATGAAAAAGACATCTGAGTAAATACCTCTTTCTGAAGTTACAGAAGAACAGGAATAGTAGTCTCTTTAATGTACATTTCTTTACGTTACATGCCTATCATGCACACTGTACAGATGTCTGAAAGATGGCTGCACAATGTTAGTAGTTACTGTCTCAGGATGATAGAAGTACAGATGATTTTTCCTTTTCTCTTACACTTCTTTAAAAACACTGATTTCTTTTTTACAATTAACATCAATCATGGTAACATATGTGTAAGTTTTATTTTTTCAGAAGCAAAGAAAGAATGAGCTTTGTCTACCATCTAGGGACAAAAATGCTGTTTTCTTTTGCAAGACACACTTAGCAGTAATAGCTCCTATGTGTACTGTGGGGCAGGTGGGGAAGGCCAACCCGTTTCTCAGCAGCTCCCCCCGCCACCTTCTCCTCCAGCAGAGAGCGGCTCAACAGCATTTTCAGTGTCACCTGAAGGAGAGCTTAATGATCTCCACCTGGAACAATGTGACCTGGGCACTTGCTATCGTCCACTGATGCTTATTAAGAAGCTGGGGTTCTTTACATGAAAATCTTTATTATGATAAATAAAAACAACAAACTGTTTTTAAAATTTTTATTTGGTGTTAACTCCACAAGAAAAAAAAAATCAGTTACTCTGGTGTACGTGAAATCAGAACAATACAACCACGGGGAAAAAAATCTCAGCCCAGGAATGGAAACTGATACTTCAGTGCTATGGATATGCAATGCGCTTCATACCACAGTGCGTTTCAGTGTTTGCCAACTTTTTTTTTTTAATGCTTTTTCTTTGTGATCATCCATTCACAAAACTAAAAACCACACTTTCAACTCTGTTGCTGAAAGCTTCTCAGCTTCAGCTACTTAACTATGAAAACAAATAAATACATAATTTGTTAATCCCTTTGCCCATTTATAATCCATCCCCGTTCCCCTGTGGAAGGTGCTGTATCTTCTCACCCATGTCTGAGGAAGTCTGCACCTTTGCCACCTAGAGCCCTTTCCTTACAAACAGCAGCTGTCCAAAATCAACTGTGCTCAAGGTTGTGTCTGAAATCTAATTATTTGGTCTCAGCTACATAAGCAACGATTTCTAGGATAATCGTCACTGTAGTGATTTTAGGAATTTACAACTTCCAATCCTTTTTTGCCTTTGCTGTTAAATTATATTTCAGTGCAGATGCTAATCATTTTTTAGGAAGCTCTAGAAGAAAGAAAAATACGTAAAAACTTATCTGAAGTCTGTAAGTAAATAACAGCAACATAAAACCTTACGCATGCACACACATGCACACACAAACCCCCTTTAAAGTGTTAAAAGATGTGCTGTATAAAAACAAACCCTAGCCTGTGGTGAGATCAAACCCAATGGGCACGTCAGGCTTCTCACAGTGAGGACATACAGGCCCATGAAGACTCCACGGTCTTTGATGGTGTTTTCTGTGTTATCAATTACGAAAAAGGCAACAAAACCCAAATCATAGATTTCACAGCCAGTTTAGCTCCCAGCTAATAAATTATGTATTTATTGTCTGTCAAAATCAGTAGTGAAGCTATCTAGTCCCTATCAGACTTTTCTTTTCTGCTGTTCTTGATGTTCCAGACATGCTAAATTGATTTCACAGATTAGGTGTTTTTTTTTTTTAAACAAGTTGGTAAAAAAAGAAAAACAATTTAAAACAAATACTGCTCCTCCGAGCCTCGACCTGCTGCATGTCATGACAGCTCAAGGAGGTGATCAGCACGCACAGACATGACGTGTCCAGGTGTCCTGACCCCTGGGTTCACTAAGTGACACTGGACAGTCAGCACAGCAATCACACAGGCATGTGGGAAAGGCATTACTCTACCCGCCTCGCCCCACCACACACAGAACCTGCCCAGAACATTCTCTCAAACACAAAATGAGATATAAGCTATGCTACATCACAGCTACAAGAGCAGCTAGCTGCAGCAGCCAAAGATTTCTTTGAGTGATGAGGTGGCCTGTACTGAATGCTATATGTTTACAATTTCAAGTTTTGGGGGCTTCAATTCAATGTAGGTCACCAGAAAATGATAATTTGCAACTATGTTCTTTACCGTGTATTTTAAGACTCACCACAAAGAACCCTGAATGATGTTTTGGTATAAATGCCAGAACAAGTTGTGGGGAGGGGAGCGTACCCCACTCTGCCTCACACACTGCCCCATACCCCAAATCCTTGGCTTCTTCAGTTAGCAAGAAAGTCACAAACCATAGTATCTTCCATGATACTTTAGGGGGAAAAATCCTAAGATAGAAAACACAGTATTTTGTAAGTCTCTAAAAGCACACCTTTGTGGTTCTCACTTGAAATGTACATGAGATTTTACTGAACGAAGACTGCAGATGAGTCACCCATGCTTCTCTCTGGCCTTCGAAAGGCACTGAGCCACTGCAGGGTAAGGATTTATATCCCAGTTCTTAGAGAACAAAGCCTAAATGTTCCAAAGCTAAAGTCTCTGAAAGCAGAAGTGGTTGTTGACACTGCAATGCTAATAAGGTAATAGTGATATAACTGCAGTTAGAAGGAAAATTAACTGCAGTTAAGATGCAAAAAGCAGTGAAACTTCTAAGACAAGCACATGCACACCCATTCTTGATTTGACAACACAATCTAGTCTATTTCAAATAGTCAAGAATTTAACAGCTTGGAAAAAAAAATCTTCAACAGGATAGCTGTCCTCAACTCTAAAATAAGTAAGAAGAGAAAGATAATTACTGATCTGAATCAGTTAATTGAAGAAGAAACCTAAGTTGTTGTGTTAGATTAACAGGCTCACGAAAGAGTAATTTTCCATCACATATCACTTTTAAAAAATAATTTGTACTACTTTGCAAGTTTAGAGATGAGTTCGAGAGAAGAGTTCCTCTTCGCTAGGGTCCACCCATTCACCTCCACCTTCTGAGCCCGTGTCTTCCGAACCGGAGCTCGCGCTGGAACACATCTTTCTGCGGAAGCCATTTGATTTTGCTCCAGAATCTCTCTCTCCTGTACATCTTGCTTCATAAACAGAAGACACCTAAGATTGAAACAATTTTCAACAGATCAAAAAGACACATTATTTTCCAAAAGGGCTGAGATACTCTTTATTTATATAGAGAGATGAAATTGTTTTCCTGTGGAAAGTTACAAAAATGTAAAGAGTTTTACCGTTTCAGAGCAAAACAACCTCTCCTCCCTATCCATGAAGGACCCCAAATCCTAATTCTACATGTTTAATCACTTGGACAAAATGCTGACTATGTTAGGGTAGGATACAAAGACTTCTTTCCTTTTCTCAACAAGTCTTTGAATGCCTGCTACGGACTAGGAACCGTGCTGGGCACGGGGACTCCAGTGGTGGGACAGACGTGGGACGTGGAGCTCACATTCTGTGAGAAGACAGACAAGCAAAACGACAAATTCGACTCCAGACTACAGCACGTACCCTGGGCAACGAGGGGAAGGCAGTTCTGGGCAGAGGTGCAATGCTCTGTTGTGTGGGACTGTCCCCCCACCAGAAGGTTAGCATCTCCAGCCAACAGGACACCAGATGCAAGTGGAAGTCCCTCTGCAGTCACAGCCACTAGCAAAGTTCCCCTTACCCCATCACATGACTGGCAACACCCCACCCCATATCTAAAAGGCGGCATTGTCCGTGATTGAGAACCCAAGGCAGGAGCACAGGAAAGCCACACAGAGTGAGGGAGAGTAGTGGCAGACAGAGACAAAACATACAGGGCCTCAAGGCATGGCAGGGAGTGTGGTTTGTCCCACATGCAAGGGCAAAGGCACTCATAATGGTTAGGAGTGTGGGCCCCAGAGTCTGCTGCTTCTGGGGCCCACTTCACAAGTGCACTTCATATACGGCTCCGTGACTTTAGATACATGGTCCTTAATCTTTACGCGCCTCAGTTTTCTACTCTGCAAAATGGGCATGGCAATGACACCTACCTCACAGGGTCATTGTGAGGACTAAAAAAGATACCACTTGTGAGGCCATTCTGTCTTCTGTGTGGAGAGAAGACTGGAGAAAGAGGACAAGAAGAAGGGGACAGACACTGGAAAGACCACAGTAGCCATTCAGAGGGGACAGCGGTTTGAACAAAGGGGAGAGTGGTAGAGACGAGAGGAGTGGGGGGTGTCTGGGGTGGCTTAGAGGTGGAATAGTCAGGACTGGCAGGCAGGCTGTGTGCAGAAGGTGACAGAGGACTGACTGACGTCCATTCTCCATTCGGGGCTCGACACTGGGGGGAGGTGGGGACCGTGCACTAGGCAGAGCTGGTGAGGAGCCTCAGACTCCTGCCTGTCCTGTGAAATCCGATAGGTCGACAGCAGGACGGCGATGCTGTAGGGTGCTCGGGAGGACAACTCCTACAGGACTTGAACTGACGCTGACAATCAACACTGAGAAGGAAAAGAAGTTTCCCTAGATTCATTCACCTGCCTGCCTAACTGGGAAAGGCCTGAGATGAGACTGAACCAGGCACAGGCCCTGTACTGGCCTTCAGGGTGGTCCCAGGCTTGCTCGGGAGGCAGAAGTGCAGGCATCGAATGCAGCTAAATGCTCTGGCTGGAGCAAGGAGTATCCTACACAGGGTGCAGCAAAGACACGAACAGGACAGAATTCGTTCTGCGGAGTCCAGGACAGGCAGGAAAAAGTACACTGGAAGGGCTCCTTTGTGGTGTGCTTTGAAAGATGAAAAGGGTGCCCACCCAAAGATTTGAGGGGCAGCGACAAGGTCAGCTTTGCATTTAGAAACCCAGCTGGCAGCAATGTGAGGGAAAGACTGGAGGGAGGGCTAGGGACTCTATAGGAAGCCCTGACAGTAAACGGTCAAGGCAGGAGACGAAGCAGACCCAATCCAAGGGCCAGAAAAGAGGAAGGCCACGTCCACAGACCTTGCCGGTTCCTGGGAGGGGCATGGGGCACTCACATGACTCCAGCTTTCTGACTAGAGTGACAAGTGAGGTGGTGGCCATTTTTAAGTTAACAATAAGGAGGACAGTCCACTTACCCTATTAAAATCTAACAGACGTTCTTCATTACTGGGTATTTCTTTAACATCTGGATATTCTTCTATACCATTCTCTCCCTTGGCATTTGTATAACATTCTTAATCATTTTGAATGGAGAAGGGAAAAGAGGGAAAGGGGGAAATTCCATTAAGATACAGTTATGAAACACATTTTTGTTTCATTTTTTGCTGAAAAGTTAGATCAATTAGGTATCCCAACCCTTTGGAGATTTTAAGTAGTCACTGAAAGCCCAGCCAGCCAGATGTGAAAGAGAAAAACTCTGTGCCAATAAAAAAAATTCTTAAATTGCTTAGTGTGTTGTTTTTTTTTTAAAAAAAAAGGCCAGCATAACCATACATTCCTGTTATTCCACCATGCGACATCCATCAGACAAATACATACTCACACCTATAATGTGACAGGCCCTGGGAACACAGGAGAGGCCAGCAAGGCCCGTGCTCTCCAGAGGAATGCTGTATGGAGGGAGACAGACGGTGTACCATGCGTATGTTCATACAGCAATGAACAGGAGTTGCACACAGGAGGAAGTGCAACGGAGAAAACAAAACAGGGCAACATCCTTGTCCGTTCTTCCTCGGCTCAAAAGCATACTACACTATGTGCTTATCACATCTGTGGAACGGGGAAAAGAAATGAGGCTAGCAGGGATCGGGCAAACGGCCCACACAACGGGAAGAAATGTAAGCTGGAATGAGAAGAAGGCAGATGAATCCAACCAGTCCAGTGGTTCTCAGCCCTGGCTGCATCCTCTCATCACCTGGGGAGCTTTAAGAGCAGCCCAGACTCCCACTAGGGACTCTGACTGAACCAGTCTGGGTACACTGTGGGCATTTTCTGAAAAGCTCCCTGGTGATTCTCATTCGCAGCCAGGGCTGAGAACCTTGCCCTTCATCTCGACCAGCCTCGTAGTCCTTGTAACTCCATGCGAGAGGTGCTGGGTGGGAGGCACAGGAAAGAGTGAGAACTTGGGCAGGGCTGGATTTGGACTCTGCTTTGACATCCACGGTGTGTAAGTCCTTCAACACCCTTGAGCATCTATTTCCTTGAAACTAGATGACACCTGCCACCCCTTGCCACAGTTACCATGAGGTAGTTCAATCAGACATATTGTAGACATATGTGTACCCCGTGCGCAGGACCCCAGAGGACAAGGCCAGTGCCCAATGACTGCTGTGCCTTCCACCACTGGGTGGCGAGCCTATGCCAATGGTAAGGCCACCTAGGCCCTGCTGAAACCTCTCCCCACAGCTGTGCTGGCCACATTGAAGATTCCACAAACTTCAGTTCTCTCTGATGGCTTCGAGTATTCCAAGTTACTCTTTTAGGATCATGAGAATAACCTAGGTTGGTTCTAGGACTAGACAGACTTCAGTCAATTCTAAGTTATGCCATTTACTTGGGTTTTTTTTTTTTTTTTTGACTTTCACTCTGTCACCCAGGCCTGAGTGCAGTGGCCTGATAAGAGCTCAATAGCTCACTGCAGCCTTCAATGCCTGGGCTCAAGCGATCCTCCTGCCTCAGCCTCCTGAGTAGCTGGGACTACAGGTGCACGGCCACTATGCTTGGCTAATTTTTTTTATTTTTATAGAGACAGGGTCTCACTATGTTGCTCAGGCTGGTCTCGAACTCCTGGCCTCAAGCAATCCTCCCATCTCAGCCTCCCAAGTGCTGGGATTACAGGCCTATTTACTTGTGACGTAACTTTGGGCAAACCATTTAACCTCTTTGAGCCCCAGTTCCCTCATTTCTGAAACAGGAACATTACCATTTCCCGTCACAGGTTTCTGTGTAAATTCAAAGAGGTGATATGTGTAGAGCCTCAAGTACAGTGTCTGGCATACACAACATCTTCTATGACTACCGCTAACCAAAGACATGGGCCTGGGGCTTGGCCTGCTTTAGGGCAGCTGGGGAGGAAGCTGTGTGCACTCTGACAAGGCGAGGGACCCCTGCTCCACCTGTCTAAGGAGGCATCTTTTTCTTGGCTTTCCCTGCCAAGCAACACTCACTCCGTCTGTTTACCCCTTGTCCTCGGCTAAGATATGCTCACAGGTGCAGGGAGAGCCATCTGCATCCTAGCCCTTCATCTTCTCTTCCTGTTCCAGGAATCCTGTATGCATAGAGGATTTTATCACGCCACAGGGCACTGGGAAAGGCAATGTTGACTGCTGCCGATGTTTTTCACGATGTTTGTGCAAAAGCCACCAGTTTCAGGCTATGACTATGTGCCAGGCACTGTTCCAGGCACTTCACCCTATAAGGAAGGCATTCCTTTTAACCTCCTTTTACCAATACAGACAATGAAGGCACAGAAAGGTTCAATCACCGCCCAAAGTCTACAGCTGGGAACAGAGGCACTGGATTCCAACTCAGTTTTGTTTTTCAAGCCTGAGCCCTTCACTGCTGTCTACACTGCTTCCTTGCAGGGCTCTCACTTTAAGGCTAAAATAATCCAGACACTTAAATTAATTGAGTCTTCAAAGCACTGAAAATCCAAGGGCATGAGCTGTGGAGATTGCTGCTGGGAACAGCAGTACTGCCGCACAGTCTGCAGGGTTCACTGTGGTCTGGCTGCCTGGCTGGCCTTGTCCCCACAACACTCCAGTACCGTCCCCTCTTTGCCAGTCACGCTGGGACACACCGAACGCACTCCTGCCCCTGCACCAGCCACTGCTCTGCCTAGTACCTCTTCCTGCAGGCAGCCCCAGCTGTCACATGGTTTATGCCCTACTCCCTCAAGCCCCTGCTCAGAAGGCACCTGATCAGGAGGACAGGGACATGGTCTGTTTGCCTCAGCATTCCCAGCGCCTAAAACAGTGCTGCCACAAGGTAGCCTGCAATTGCTAGGATGAACACATGACCACACAGCAGGCTGGCAGGTGGCAGAGTGCAAAGAGCTTGGGCTCTCCTGCCAGATGGGTGCCTGGACAAGCTGCCCCACTTTGGAGCCTCTCTCTGTCTCTTCACCTTACTACAGAAGAGGACAATGACACCCCTCCTTGCCAGGGATGCTGAGAGCTCCCAGGTCAGCCCCTGGCTCAGAGCAGCACATGGTTGTTATTAATCATTCGCAACCTGGAAGCATCAGGAGTTCCCAGCCCCTCTGGCTGAGTGGCTAAGTGACTACCTGTTTCCCTGGCTAACCTCCTCCTGAGACTACATGCCGCACCCACATAAGCTAAAAGGAAGATGCTTCATGGTGTCACTGCAAGGCATCGTGCAGGGATTCGACTCTCAGTGTGAGCTACAGGTCATTCAAAAGACTGGTCACCATTATCTGTTCCACCAAGTGCCACCTCACAATAAAAACAAAGTATTACATATGAGCATTTACCAGAACCTACCTAGAGATTGTACAGATCACCAAGAACCTGGAACTAAGAGTTGGAACTGGATTCCTTACTGATAACAGAAAACTGGACTAAGGGTGTCAAGATAGCCCCTGACCCACTAATGTAGCAAAACTATCTGAAAACCATCCCACACCATTATAAGGAATCGGTCCCCACAAGGTGGCATCCCACTCTCCCACCAGGCTCTTCTGAGGGGTCCTCTGCAGCACAGCTCTGCGCATTTCCTACCTGTATTCTGGAAACCGCACCTGTGTCTTCCACTCACCCAATTCGCCAGACTGGGCACAGATGAAGCAAAGTGTGTGTTCCTACTGCCCCGGTGTCTACCTAGGCCCCAGGTACAGACAGCTGCTATACAGGACAAGACTTCCAGGCTATAAGAAACACAACCTGGATTCCAGCCAACACTTAATAGCTAACTGCATGATTCTGGACAAATTACAGCACTAAACTTGAGACTCAGCCTCCTCATCTGAAAACTAGGGGGAACATCTTATAAAGCTCTTGTGGGGCTTATATAAAAGATTGAAGGCACCTTGAAAATAACCAAGGGCTATCCAGATGCTAGCTAATAGCAGAGCAAGAGCAGCAACAGGCCTTTCATAAACGTTAAATAAAGATGCTAGAGTGAAGACTCAGCCCTACGCTCTCATGATCCAGTTGAACCTTTGGGAAGGAAGAAGGCAGGGTTTTGGGAAACCCTCTGTGGCTACAGACCAGAAAAAAGCAAACACTTCCAAAGAAGAGTCAAACTGGCCAATGTGGACCTCTATCCCATCAGCTAGAGCCCATGCTGCAAAGGAAAGCTAGCAGAAGCTTTCTGAACAGCTGCTCTGTGCAAGGCATTGTGGCTAGCAAGACGTCATGAGCTCCAAGGTAACTATCAATTAGCCGGGGAGACGGGATACATATGAATATGTAAATACCAGCAAAAGATTTACATAAGCCCTTTAGGGCTCTGACAGGAGAGAGTGTTAAATAGATGTTGTAGCCAACAGAAGACCAGGAGACCACACTCTGGACAAGCTCAACCAATCCATTCAGGTTGCATCCTTAGTTCCCACTGCTCCCAAAATTCCAGGTCAAGATTTCTTACAGCCTCTGGGTGTGTCTACCTGGAAGGCTCACATATTGTTCACTTAAAAAATACTTCAAACTAAAATCATCTTCCTCACCAAATCAGCTCCTGGTCCCATCTCCCCCACTACCCAGCCTCCTCTAACTACTCCTCACAGACAGTCATTTAGCAAACTCATCCTCTACCGAACCCCTAGATTCTATTCCCCTTTATCTACCTCACTGCCATTGCCTTAGTCTGGGCCTTCATCTTATCATTCTCAAACCATCGCAAAAGCCTAAGAACCCTGGCCAGTGCCCTTCAATTTTTCAAATCCATTTCTACTCTGTTACTAGAACTGTTCTAAACACACATCCGACCTTGTCACTTTCCAATGTGAACTCCTCTGAAGGCTCTCCCTTCCTGTACGTTAAACTGTCTAACACAGCCAAGCTCCCAAACCTCCTGACATGCTTTGTCCCTGTCTGCCTCTCCGGCCTCAGCGACAACCCAGCGGAGCACAATGGGTCCTGTTCCTTCAACTTGCCACAGACCCTCCTGTGTGCCCAGGCTCTTCTTTCCACAGGGACCGCCTGGTCATTCCTCCCACACGACTCAAGGGCGGCTTGTACATGTCTCGTCACAGCTCAGTAATGCTTTCACGTATTTCCATGCCTTTCGTTTCCATCAGGCCGTGGCTGAGTTTCAGAGCAGTGTCCAGTTTTCATTCATTTCTGTGTCCCCAGTGTGTGATAAAGTGCTAGTCACACAGAAACCTCTTGGTAAATGTTCTTTGGACTGACGTTCATAGCAGAATAATTTATTGCTCTTAATGAATGAGGTATCAGAATGAGTAAATGAACTAATATGGGTCTTCTTACCTTCACACTCTGATGCAGGAAAAAGAGGAGAGTACAAGGCTTTTTCCCACCAGGTCTGCTTTTCTTGACTTCTATTCATTTCTTGTACATCAGTGTTCAATATAGGAAACTGTTTAGATTAAACCAAATATAGAAAAAGTTTACAAACTTTCAGGATAGAGGAAAATATTCAAGCATTATTAACTATGAAACGTAACCCAGGATTTTTAAATTGGTGAGTTTTTATAGTGTTCTGGGCAAGGTGAATTTAAAAAAAAACCCCATGTGTTCATAGCAAATAAATAAAATTTTTCTTAGAAGTGGAACGAACATCTTCACGAAAAAATCCCCCAAAACTCTTACAATGCAAAAAGATAATGTAATAGGAAATACTCCCAAGTAAGGTAAATTTCTTGATTTCAGAAGTGCACAGACATAAGGGGGCAGCAGGGAGTAGAAGAAGAAATGGAATAGAAGGAAATTCTTATAGGCAGAGTTACCAACCTACATGTCTTTATAACAAAATTATCTGCTTAGGTGAGAAGTAGAAAGCTAAGACTGAAACCAAATTAAAAATTCAAAGTCAAAAAAGGAAACAGTCATCCAAATGAGATGGGTGAATGACTCCTGACAGCAAGGAGACTAACACCCTACACTCTTGTGGCCATGGCATAGTGGAAGGTGCCCTGGCCCATAAGGACTGAGTTTGAATCCAGGCTCCACCCTTGACTAGTGGAACTCTAGAAGTCCTACCTGGACCTGGGCAGGGAGGACTGGATACAATGTAGCCAATGGTGGACAGACTGCAGCTGTCAGTGATCAAGGAGAGTCCTTATGAGGGGCCATAAGACTGGCGGCCAGCTTCAGTCTCCACGTGCATCCTGGTATGCTGGCGGTCAGGGAACCCCCTACCATGCACTTCCTTCACCACGCTCTGCACCTCCGCACCTCCCATGGCCCCTGACACTTTGTTCTCAATACACATTTATAAACACTGAGTACACCTTATATTTACTGTTTTAAAAGACATTTCATTATATGTTCAAATTTAAAATCTGAGCTGTTTTAAAAATGAATGATCATTAATTCTCTAACAGGATTTTCTTATGCTTCTAAAAATTGTCTTACGGGTCTAAAACTGATCAATTCAGTAAATGGGTTTTTTATTATGTGACTAAATGGGAATTACTTTAAATTTTCATTTTCACTTAACATAACTTTTCAGAAATTACTCCTAAATCAGAAACTGAAGGAGAATTGTATTGTCTACCCAGAGTGGTGAGTTAACTTTCACTATTTGCTCCTGCAGCTTATCCTAACAATAAAAATTAGTGCTGCTGTTGAACAGACGCCAAGGCCAACAGAACAGACAAGGCTAGGCTTCATGCAAAGGAGGCTGGTAACGTGCAAGGTGTGCAGTTAATGCAAGGTAATTAATAGCACCTGGTATGTAATTCACAGCACTATAAGGCCTCTTTGGAAAGGGCTTACCTATTCTGTGAGATTACTTAGTGCTATTCAAGGGCAACGAGGAAGGCTTCCCTGGCCAGAACTTTCTCCATCACACCTAAGCCACTACTGAAAGATGGATTTGGAGGTAACAGGTTCCTACTTGAGAAAGAAAATGCTCTGGGCAGGTTGCGGAATGATCGGTCCAGTTATATTGCTTCCTTTTCATCCTTCCTTGAGACCGCGGGGGCAGGGGCAAAAGCAAGGGCAAGAAAGGGAGTGCGAGTTCACAGTGGGGAATGGGTTGAGGTCAGGGAAGGCAGGCTGGAGGGCCAGGTACTCAAGGGGCCAGGGCAGCACGAGCAAGAGGAGCTTAGATACCAGCAGGGCAAGACTGTGAGCTCCCTACGGGCAGGGACCACGCTGTCTTTATCTTTGCATCTCCAGGTACAGGGCCTGCACAAAGCAAATACTCAGGTCTGCTGGCCTGAGGAAAAGTTTCTACTGGGCCAAGCCTCTGATTATCTAGTACATCATCTCCTCCTCTCTCCTGCAAAAACCACTGTGAAGAGCATGCCGGTTTCTGCCATAATTTTAGAAGTCTTTTTTCTGCATCCTCCATTTTAGTTTCGATTCCTGTGGCAGGGACTTATTTGTCCTGTTTCATGCTATAGTGAATGCATCATTTTATGACATCTCTCCACTCAGTGGTTTCCAACACTTAGGTTGCACAGCAAAGATGACCACGTTTTCTCACCTAATGTCCGTTTAATGTATTAATTCAACTTCTGGTTTACTTGTGAATGGAAAGAATGAAGACAGAATTGAAGAAACTAAAGCAGAACAGGGCTGGGCCAGGCCACCATGGATGAGCATGCACACCTGCCCACCTCCACGCTGCTCCTGCTCTCCTGCTGAGTGTCTTCTGACTCCCTCTCACCTCCAAGTACTCCCTCAAACTCCCCCTTGGCAAGGAAGCCTGCCCTGACACCATCTGTAACACGACAAACTCCTGCGAGCACTCCCGACCCCTGCATCCCTCATCCAGCTCTCCCCTCTTTTCATTAGCATGTATATTCTTACACTCCACAGAACTGGTTTACTGTCCGCTCCCCGAGCCTGGATTCAACTCCGCAAAGAAAGGGATCTTTATTACCTATTCCCAGCACCTAGAACAGCACCTGACCTAACAGGCACTTAATAAATATTTGCTGAATGAAACAGTGAAAAAAACAGAAGACAGAAACTTAATCCAAAAGCCTGACCAGAAATGTTTTTAGCAACAGACGTAATACTCAGAAATTCTTTAGAAGATGGAAGTTAGGTGAAGGAAACAAAGGCTTCACAGCTTTAAATTCTCACTAACTACTTCTAGTTCTGATGAAGAGAAAGGTGTGGCTTTAGTTTGACGCTAGGAATATGCCCCATGGCCATAGTTAGTTTTTAGTCAACTGGGTCACAGAAAGGAAAAGAATGCCTCCAACAGGCCCCGTTCTTTGGAAAAAGGAATGAAATGTAAATGAAGAGATACAGAGTGCAACAAACAAGAGACACTGACTCTCCTGTTTTTACTTTTCCTTTCCTTACAGGAAGTGGATAGTGGGAGGTGCTTTGGCTCTATCTGTTACACTGGGACCCGTGCAGGTATCTCAACCCCTGAGCTTATGTGTCCTTAGCAGTCAGGTAGGGAAACAGATCTAGCACATGAGGCCTCTGTGGGCACCAGGCACAGGCAGGCTGGGTGCTACACCACCAGGATGATCCCCGTTCCCTCTCCACTCATCAGAGCCATCCTGCCTTCCAGACCTCCTGACCTCCACAGCACATCTGCTGGGGCTGCACTGGCCTGTAAATGCCTGAAGACAAGGAGCAAGTCTTCTGGTTCTTTCCTGGGTCTCAAAGTGCTTGGCACAAAGTCGGCAATAAGGAAATGACAGGGAGAACATTTTTGCCACGAGCTTATGCACATTCTGCTTCATCTGTGCCATTAGTCACCCTCCACTCTATGCCTCAGAGGCCACAGGCTGTCCACAGCTGCCCTGCACACCTAGCAGGTGCAAGCTCCAGGCTGGCTTGTGCTGTGCCTTCTGCCAAGATCACCTGCCTCCTTCCTTGCACCCCAGATGTTCAGCTAGGTTCAAAAGCCTTTCTCCACACTCCCAGATTGGAGGGTTCTCCTGCAGATTCCCACAGCACACCATGCTCACATCCACCTCTCATGTGCCACACCGCCTAGAACTGTGCTGGCCCAAATACCTTGGAAGACAAAGAACTGGCTAGGTAACTACAGTATATCCATACAATGGAATAGTATGTACAAAATAAAAAACAAGGGTGACTATAATAAACTGCCATTTCAATAAAAAGAAAAAATAGGAGGAAAGACAGGTGGACATGTATTTGCTTATACATGCAGAAAACATCCTTGGAGAACACAGCAGGACACACACTAGTGGTTACTAATGGGGAGGGAACTTTTCACTGTGTACACACCCTCTCGTAACTTCTGGGTTTGAATCGTATGCATGAATTACCTAGATCTTTTGTTTTGGTTTGGTTTTTTTTTTTTTGGAGACAGAGTCTTGCTCTGCCATCCCAGCTAGAGTGTGGTGGTGTCATCATAGTTCACTGCAACCTCAAATTCCTGGGTTCAGGCAATCCTCCTGCCTCAGCTTCCCAAGTAGCTGGGACTACAGGAGCCACCACATCCAGCTTATTTTTCTATTTTTAGTAGAGATGGGGTCTCGCTCTTGCTCAGGCTGGTCTCGAACTCCTGGCCTTAAGCAATCCACTCACCTCAGCCTCCCAGAGTGCTACGATTACAGGCGTGAGCCACCGTATCTGGCCTGAATTACATACTTCAATTTAAAAAACTTAAACTGTTTACAAATTAATCTTAACTAGACTGAATTCTTCATGGGCAAGGACAAAATCTTATTCGCTCAGGGCTGCAGTCCCCAACCCTGGTATCGGGTCCGTGGCCTGTTAGGATATGGGCCACGTATCACTGTGTGAGGTCTGCACCACGTCCCCCACGCATCCTCCCAACCCTCACCCCAGTCTGTGGAAAAATTGTCTTCCATGAAACCGGTCTCTGGTGCCAAGAAACGTTGGGGACTGCTGACCCAGGGAACCTACCTTAACGACAGGCATGTTAACAGGTAATCGATAAATGTTTGCTGAATTGAACTACACCAAACTTTTGAAAAGAATCATTCTTCCCATGCTCCTAGACACCAATTCTATTGGAATTCCTACATTTTCATCCTCTCACTCTGAAAGACATGGGTTCCCAGTGGCCTTTAAATGGGGCTCCCAGACTGAATTACGCAAAGACCAGTTTCACTCAGGAAAAGGGAGGAAAACGCCCTCTCAGGAGTCCTAAGACTAACCAGGCATGGCCAGGCACCGTGGCTCACGCCTGGAATCCTGGAATCCTAGCACTTTGGAAGGACTACTTGAGGCCAGGAGTTCAAGACCAGCCTGGGCAACACAGTGAGACCTCATCTCTAAAAAAGACTGACCAGGAAATGTGACAGAAGGGAAACACACAAGTTCTAGCCCAGCCTGGCCCCCAGCTGTCCCTGCAGGACTGTCTCTCCAACTCTCTGTACCCCAGATCATTATCAATGAAGTAAGCACTAACCCAGCTCTAAACTGCAATGACACGGTCACTAGCAAGAGATCAACGTTGACCGTGCTAATGACACCCAGACTATTGGACAACCCCAAAATGTCCTGTGGGAATTTTTTTAGTAGCTCAGACCTTTCAAGAAAACCCAGAATTCTGATAACACATAAATACATCAACATACTAGAAAGCGAAGGAATATGGTAGTGGTATGATGTAGAATCTTGCTTCTTTCCTCTTTTTCTTTCTTCCCAATCTGGAACCAGGTGAAATACAAAGTACATAAAGGAATATTTAAGGATGAAAAAGGGGCAATAAACAAACAGATAAAGGCTAACAACATTATTGGTTTTTTTCTTAGCAGTTCAGATTTCAGTGTTTTCAATTAAATTCTCCTTCTGAGGATCTCTAAGGATGATTACAGCAGTGACTCTCAAATCACCTGGGGGCTTCCTACAATCACAGGTAAGCAGCCCCACACCTGGGCACTCTGATTCTTACTCTGATGAGTAAGGCATGGTCCATAGCCATAAGGAGCTTATAGTCTAGTATATAAGTAACTCATGAAAAATGGAAAATGCAATAAAAAAGCATAAAAGAGGCGTGAAAATTAAAAGAAGGGAGAAATTAATTCTGATGCAGAGTGGGAAGTAGAGCAGGGGAGAGAAGAGGACTCAGGCAAAGTGTCAGTGGAGGAGGTAGCATCTGAAGCAAGCCTCGTGGTGTGGGTAGAACACAGACGTGCAAAGGGGGGGTGGGGTGTGCAGGACAGATGGGAGGAAGGGCAACACTCATCTGCTCTCCAGCCACAGGTGGCATGATTTCTAAACACCTCCAACTCTCTCTTTAATGAGCTATTTCTGGAGAAAGGCCAGGCACTGCTATACCAAGTTAACAGTTGAAAAATGGGCAGATCACTATGCTTTTTGTGTGAAACAGGTTATTAAGTGTTATTTCCTGTACAATCAATTCAGCCTCAAACTATTTCTTAGGAATATAGTCAAGGGGTACAATAACTCTCATTAATAAAACTATAAACTTCATTTGATAGACTTCACATACAATTCGTACAGCTTATGAATATGTACCCTGTAAAAAAAGTACATCTACATAGGTTCTGCAAAAGCTATTCTGTTCCATTAACTGTGGGTTAATTTCTACATATACCATAACGTATTTTGGAGAATCCACCCCAATATAGATGTAATATATTTTACATGCCAACCACAAGTTTTAATAGACTGATCAATGTCTAAAAGGCAGTTAGAGGCTTACTACTGAAAAACTCTTCACTAGCAGCCATTTCCTGATTCATCAATGCTTACACATTAGGTGTTTGCATTAAGCATAGTACATGTATATTAAGACAGCACAAAGAATCTTATATCCTGTGATTTTTTAAAAATGCCTTTTCTTTGCAGAAAAAGTCTTGTGTCTAGGTCAAATTTATAAATATCAAATTCATTTTAAGTCCTTAAATGTAAAAATCTTAATAAGTTTTCAAACATTTAAGCTAATTTCCTAATAATTTAACCCTGTCTTTCTTTCATTGCCTAATATGGCTGTTCTTGAATTAAAGTCTGATCAAATCCTTTCGTCAAATACCAACACGCAGACACATACCTCTTCCAGCTGTCCTGAAGAAACTGGATCATCTTCATAAGCAGGGAACTGACAACCTGCTTTGCAACTGCAAAAATTATTAATTTCTTCCTCACATTGTGCCATTATTTTACAATTTGCTTCTGAGCTTTCTAAATCTATTTCCAGAGATTCATTCATGCTACATTCCAAACACTGATTTTGCTTTCCTACTGGCAGAATCCCAGTTGATTCCTCCTGGGAATCCAGTGATGTCTGAGCACTCTTTTCCATTCCAGATTTTTTTAACCTGGGAAGGAACTTTCCAGACTCAAGCTCTGATTTTCCATAGTAATGGCCTTCTTTCTCTGCATCTTCTTCTAGAGGTTTGAGATCTGCCTGTGGGTCTTCAAATACATCAACTTGAGAAGGAATGGGAATATTTGCTTCATCTTTCTCAGATTCAAATTCCGACTCGCTTCCTCCTCCTGGGGACAGTTCAGATGCAGAAATTGGGCGAAAGTGAGTCCTAGGAGAGATGCGAATAGCCCTATATTGTGTTCTGTCAACACCACATATCCTGGGGTGAAAAACTTCACTGTCTGAATCAGAGCAGAGGATTGATTTCGGTTTAAAACTGGGGCTGAAAGATGTAATCCCTTCAGGTTCAAATGAACATTCTACGTGAAGAACTTGTGAAAATGGATTGCTTAAGTCAAAAGAAGAGAAAGAATATTCCAGTCCAGGATCTTCAACTTGAAAGTTACCACAAGCTCCTAGTAAGTCTTCATGGAAGATAAAAGAAAATCCCTTATTTAATCCATTTTCCCCACTCTTCGGCTGATCATTCTGTTCAAATGACACGAAGGGTTTCCATAACTGCCTGTGACCAGGAGCAAAACTGTTTCCTGGGGTCATAAAGACATCTGTACCAGCTATTGTCACTACATCAGAAGCTGCACACTGTAACAAACTTCCTTTTGTGTGACTAGGCGGTACGACTGCCCATTCCCCATCGCTATTAAAGGTTTTGAGTTCGCCATAAACTCCTCCAAGAATGAATGCATTCTCTTTATCCTGGGCTACATCCCAAGGTCTAGAGGGTGTAGTATAATCACCACCGTCCGCCTTTGATAGCTCACTAGAAACAAATGCTCTTTTCTCCAGGGTCTCCTTCTGCCCCTCCCACAGATGATACTCTGATCTCTGCACAGCCTTATTAGGCTCCTGAAGGGTTTCCATGTCAGCTTCAGCATCCAAACAGCAGCAGGAGTTATTTACGTCTGTCGAAAACAACTCATCGATTCCTTCTATTTCTACTGTAGCCACAGAATTTCTATCTGCCATCTTTGTCCAAATGTCTTTAATAACCCCTGAGCTGTAGCCATCTCCATGTGAACTGTTTTCACTACATGCTTGTGTAGTTTCAAAGGTTTTGTTTTCTGTTTTTTGTTCTAGCTGAATACCACAGACAGATTCTAGTTTAGATTTTTTTTTGAAAACTAATGTAGGAATTTCACCTAAAGTTCTACTGTTTTGCTGGCAAGTTTCATCTTGCAAAAAATCTAGAAGTTCTTCATCTACATAATTTGACGAGACTCCAGGAACTACATAATTAATATCTTCTGCACTAAACTGTGTGGATTCCTCAAACTGAATATTTAATGTCTCATTATCTGAACGTGTTTCTTCTGAATGGGACCATGGACTACAAGTTCTTGTTGAAAGATTAGAACAGTGTTCATTTTCTTCAAAGGCACTATTTTTGGTCCATATTAGCAATCTAGACTGTGTTTTCCCAAGCATATTAGCACTAGAATCTGTATTTTCATTTCCTAAGTTGAGTGTTTCAAAAGAAAATGGTAAAACAGAATTACCGCATTGCACTTCAAACACTGAAAAACAAGAATTTATACCAGATCCTTCATTAATATCTGAAAAGAGCTCTTGATTGCCAGCAAGCAAGTGTGAATTGAGCATTGTGCTGTCTAAGATTGGAGAGAGTCTAATTGGAGAATCTCCTCCGAAACTTTCTCCATCAGCATCACCAGAGCTGGATGAACAGCACTCCCAAAACTGAGCCAGATTGCCAAGGTCTTGCAGGAAGAAGCCCTCAGCACCCACGGAGCTGGTAGAATCTGTCCATATTGCACGTTCCCCTTGCAACTCCATACCATCTAACACTATGCAACATTCTGCCTCAAAATCTGTTTTCTCTTTGCTTTTTTGTCGAATCATATTCAAAATCCGACTTTCTCCTTGCATTGTTTCTGAGGCACCAGGATCCAACATGGATTGATCTATATCTACTTCATAGAAGTGTGTTAATTCTGATAGATGAATGTCATCCAGGTATTTATTGTCCTCTGGTAGAGAACATAGTGAGGTCCCAGTGAGGTCAATATCCTCATTTATAACTGCAGGCATTTCTACAAAATGACCATCAATGAAAGTACCTGCTGCGAGGTATGTTTTATGCATATTACTGTTGCTGATACAAAGACCATGCACTGATTCAGACAATTCTTCCACTGCCTCTGATGTCACATCACTTGTATCTTGTCTGTTTCGGTATGTGGTCTCTAGTTTACTTTTTCTGCTCAAAGGAACGAAATACTCAGCAATTGGTTCGGTGTACCACAATGGCTCCTCTTTGTACTCTCTGTCATTTCTGCTCTCCACGTACAGGTCTTTTCCTTCAGTGCTCCCAGGTTCTTTTCTCCCTATTTCTTTCAATGGTCTCTTACCCCGCTTGCACAGCTGTTTCACAGAACCACTGCTGCTACTGCTACTACTCCCGGTATGAATGTTTCTTTCGGCCTTTTCGCCATGCTTTAATGATAGCCTGCTTTGCCCACTCCGCCCTTTTTTGTTTCGAATTTCTCGTGCCTTGTGTCTTACTTTAACATACTTCATGGATGCTTTTAATTCTCCCTGATTACCACTTGAACTTGAGCCTGCTTCACTAGAGCCGGAAGACCACGAGCGAGGGCGAATCTTTCCTTCAGGTTTATGTCGGATTTGCTTTTTGTACAAAGCAGGTTTTTCTTCAATTGTGCCATTATTAAATTTGTTCTCCTTTTCATTTTTACTTTTGCTCTGGGTTTTCTCATGTACAGTGGTGGGTACTTCACTGCTTCTTTCCTTGATGACTTCACTTTCACTGATGCAGTCCTTGGGAGAGGATGTATCTGTGCTAGCTGGTGGGGCTGTGGATGATGAAGAAGAGCTAGAGTAAGAACAGACTTTGGACTTGTTCCACACAGTCATGATTTCTTGCAGGCAAACAGGTTTTTCAGAAAGTGGTGGGAATGCTTCATAGTACCTGAAAAATGGAGTAAAGAGTTCAAAAATGAGCACACAGATGTATCAAATATAGTAAAACATTGCCAACCAGAGAAATGGAATATTTCATTTTAAGAGTCAATATTCATATCATCCATGAGTCATTAACTTTGTAATAATTTATAATACAGTAAAATATGCTTTACTTAAAATTAGTCCCAGGCATCAAGCACCTTTTTGCTCAGCACTGTGATTAGCACTATAAGAATATTGAGAAAATATGTAAGATGACAGTTTTGTCTTCAAAGCTTGAATTTTAATTAAGTAAAAAATAACAAATACAATGAAAGAATGTAGTCTTTTCAGTAGAAAATGTCTGAATTTGAATCTTAGTTGCTAGCACTTATGACTTTAAGCTCAAAATTTAGTGTTTTGGTCTATTTCCTCAACTGCATGAGGGTAATTATATGACTTACCTCACAAAGTTGTTGTAAGCATTGGAAATATATGCAGTTGAAAAGCTGAAAAGCGAATTAGTCAAGAGTATGAGCTCTAAAGCCACATTCCTTGAGGTCAAATCCTGGCTCTTACACTTATTAGCTGTGTGACCTTAGGCATATTACTTCACTTCTCTGTGGCTGAGTTTCCTTACCTACAAAATAGGGGTATAATAGTGTCTGCCTCACAGAGTTGTTAGGAGTAAAGGAATATACAAAATGAGCCAGAATAGCACCCTCGTGAGTGAATTCCAGCATACTGCCTGGCATTTAAGTAGGCCCTCAAAATAACAAGGATTACCACATTCAAGTGTTCAGAAAGAGGATGTTGGTGAGGCCTAGAGCAATGAGACAGTGGCCCACAGCTGGGCCTGAAAGTTCCAGAGGTGTCGTGGCCCACAGCTGGGCCTGAAAGTTCCACAGGTGTCGTGGTTTAGTGAGTACTACTTGTGAGGTCTGGGAACTCGTGTAAGGACATGTTATGCTCACGGAACGGAAGACTGATTAGACCAGTGACTCCCAGAAATGCAGGGTGGGAAAAACCAGGAGGCTGGTTTCAGTGGGCTTCAAAATGAGGAAGTGTTTTTGACGTGGTAGGAAACTGGCAGCTGTTGACAATTTCAGAGTAGAACAGACGCCAAAGGAAGAATTTAAAGTTGTGTTGGCTACTGAAGGGACTGTTGTTCTAAAACCAACACCCAAGGTCACACATGAAGTGGTAAAAGGCCATGTTTTCAAAGAGCCTGAGCTTAACTCTCCTCCTTAGTCTATACTGACGCTGTCCAACAGAAATAATCATGAGCTTCATGCGTAATTTTAAATGTTCTAGCTGTCATATTAAAAGCATAAGAAACACGTGAAATTAATTCTAATAACATTTTATTTACCCAAATAAATTCATATTATTATTTCAAGATGTAATCAATATTTAAAAATGTTTAAATCAGTATTTTATACTTTTTATATTAAGTCTTTGAAATCTATGAGAATTTTATACTCACAGCACATCTCAATTCGAACCAGTCACATATCAAGTGCTCAATAGCCACAATTGGCTTGTGGATACTGTGTTGGACAGCACAGGTCTATACAAATCAACTAAGCGCTATTTTTTCCTCTTAGGTTTTAGAGGTTCAGAAGATTAAAATAAAATATATAATATGGAAGTCTGCTTATAATGCTGATTATTTTAATACTAATCATTTACAAAGAAAGAACTAAAAGTATCTTTAGGAAACAGATTTGGCAAGGCTGAAGATTTGCCCATATTCCCTTTGCAATAAAGCAGTGGGAACTCAATGTTCTTATTTGTAAACAAGGGTGATCATCATTTCTTATTGCTGTCTCAAAGGACTGTTGTAAATTTCAAAGGTAACAGTACATGAAGGGACTTAATAAACAATAATTTGTTTCATTCATTCATTTCAAAAATACTGAATATGCACGATAAGCACAGAACCACCTTATTTGCCTATGAATTCTAAGTGTCAAGCACACGATAAGTGCTCAATGTTTCCTAAATATGAAATATGGAACTAAACAGAAGATGACAAACAACAATGGAAACCATGTAGCAGTTATCAGTCTAATTTTAACACAAGCACACTTTATTACTGAATACAATGTTACATACATTTCCACTTGATCCTTTGCTGTAGGGGATAATTCTGCCTCTGGAGAGGGAGACCCCTCTAACTTTTTGTGAATCTTCTCTTCTGTTATGAAACAAAAATTCAGAAATATTTGTCTTATATCTAGATAATAAATATCCACATTTTTAAAAGTTTCTCAATTAATTTTAATCAGAAATGACAGAGACTGTTGTGGCTTAAAAAGAGAACTCTATACAGTATGTCTTTTTAATAAAAAATTATTTCTTCAGTATGCTAGAGGGAATTCTTCGGCTAAACCACATTAGCATTAGGCTGAGAGGTGAGAGTTTTTCATCTCGTCACTGATACAGTTCTCTAGAGGCACTTAAGAGACGACATCCCCTGTGTACTTATTCATTAGACCAAAAGGAGAGAACATCTGTTTAGATTCCAAAAATATTTTTTAACAAAATTCTGCACTCATGGACTTTAAATTGACTCATCTTGACTAATACTAATCTGTAAAGAACACGCTTCATTATAATTAGCTCTGTCACTTAACATGGAGATAATAAGCAAGGGTTGTATTTCAACTAAAATAGAAAAAAGGGCTATTCTCTCAGCTTAGACCAGGATACTTCCACCATTAAGAGAAGGCAAGGAAACAAGGATCCTTAACCTTAACGTGTAGGTCTCATTCTTAGGGACTACAGGAGAGTAGGAAAAGCAACTAAGAGGAGGGTTCGTGTATCAAAATGACTTACTGAGCTTATCAAGTCTGCCTGTCAAAAAAATTTGAGACTCAAAACAGAAGTCCCTTCTAAACCTGAAATAATTATTGTCAACACCTTTGAAGGCTTTAATATCAACAGGCAGATGTTAACAGAGGGGTGAGGATGGGGAAAGGAAGGAAAAAATATTGCTCTCAATCTCTGGGCTTCAACTTTTAAGACAAAAAATGAAATGTTTCGTATGCATGAGGGCACACATGGAGTAAGTATCTCCCTTGGGAGCAGGGCTGTCTGCAAGTGACTGCTGGGCTGACACAGAAGCCACTAACAGAGCTAAAGATGGAGCATGAGGCTGGCCTGGTGACATACACTAAACACAAAGACTTTATTCTTCTTGTTCTTTTTTATGATCAATTCTAAGATTTTCCTCAATCCAGATTCCTTGGGGATACGATCCTGGAGTGTGTGCACACAGTGCTTTCGAAGCGATGCCCTCACCTTGCTTACTCTGAAGGTCTTTCAGTCTGGAGCAGAGCTCCTCCACTAAAGTCTCGATACCAGAGCTCTGCACGACAACAAAAAGACACATTAGTTTACTGCCAGGTATATAAAAATCAGGTATTTATATACTTTTAACACAAAGGTCTTACAAATTTTCCATGTTCTAAAATAAATACATTACCAATATTTAAATGAATACCAGAGTTTTAAAATTATAGGCAGATAATTACCTATAATTATCTACCTATAGGTAGATCCAAATTAGTATACATATTTTACTAATAAAGGATATTAAATGGAACTTACTGATAAAATGTGAAAATATTCATGTAACTCCCAGAATGGCTTCTGTCTTTTCAAAGGCGTATCATATTGCTCAAGGGGCAGACTTAAGGACCTAAATGCCCACCATATGGCCAAAAGTCAGTTACCATCAAGAAGAGTATTAAATATTTATGTGAGCAAGGTCTTGTACCAGATTCAATACAAAGGAAAATCACAAAAACCTAATCTTAGTCCCCTAGGAGCTCACAGTCTAAAGAAAATAGGGTAATTTTTTTTTTCTTTTGTAAAGAAACAGGAATACTCATGACTGCAACAAAAAAAGCAGTCAAGAAAACGTAAGTCAATACCGGGAGTGAATGTGAAAGCTTTGTCTTCTTTTAAGGGTCAGGATCAGGGTATAAGTCTCTACACAGAATTGGGATAAAACTTAAGGACAGTGCATGGAAGAATCTGGAAATAGGAGGATAAAAATAAGAGTCAACCTTTAAAGAAAAATGAATGTTGAAAACAGGCACAAGCAAATAATCTTTCACTGTGTATACTTTTAAACTTAAGATCCTTTACTTCTCACAAGAAAGAAAAATCTTTTACAATGTATAACAAAGTGAATACATGTCTTTAGATTTACTTAGTGACCCCAAAAGTCCTAATGAAATTAGAATCAAGTCTCTTTTGGTGGGCACGACATGAACAGATGCACATGACAGAGCGTTCTGCTAACCCAGCGCCCTCACTGGGCCTTCAGGGGCTAAAAATAGACCTTTGCCCCATTCACTTTAACTCAAAATGACTCAGCACAAGTATTACAGATATCCTCAATAAGAAATCTCACAGTTTCATAATTTGAGTAGCAAGAAAACAGATTGCTATGAAAACAGTTAATTGTAAACATGATAGTTATATTCCATCCCCATCATACCACAGCTTTTAACAGGAAGACAGAAAAATGGGCCAGACAAGAAGAGCTGCCCTTTCCTTAAAAAATACTTTTTAAAACCATGGCAGATATTAGTCATAAACATTGCTCGACTATACAATTCTATCAGATAGAGCGTGCTTACCATAATGCTCAAGGTGTGATGAGTACGGCAATTATATTCCATTTCCTTCAGATCATGAAACTAACACCAGTGTCAGCTGACACGCTGCATACTGTTCTGTACAGCAAGCCTATGTCACTACGTTTTTAAACCTAGGGCTACTCTCCAACTCAGAACACTGAACCTCTAGGGATCGCTTATTAAACTTGTTTCAATACTCTACAATGGGCTGCCATTTAATATACTATCACAGAATGATCATTACAATCTAGTGACTGGACTTTTTTTAATGCTTTAGTTCTTGGAAATTAACTACCTACACACAAATATATATTTATTTATATATGAGAGCAAATATATATATATGATACAGGAACAAGTGATACATATTTGCCTACATATATATTTTACATATATATATATTGCTTTCATATTTAAATAGTAAAAGAGCTTACTCCTTACTCCGTAAAAGCAGGCTCTACCAAGTAAGTTTTTGTTTTCTTTCCTTGACCACCTCCAGCATCCTACTTATATTTTTTTTAAAAATTGTGAGAACACTGGGTTATCATCATAGCAAACTGAGAGGCATAAAGGGACATAAGAAGTTGCCATTGCACCTGTTGTCTCTGACAGATATTACCTAAAGTGTTAATTTAGAGCTGTTAGTTAGAAATTTTATTCACTTTCCCAATTATGACATAAAGTACTAGAGAATTTTAGTAATATTTTAGTAGTATACCATATCCATGAGGGCATTCAAGAATACTTTGAGTATTTTTATACCAACAGTATCTTAAGAATCCCAGAAAGATTAAATTATATTCATATTTTAGTAACCACTCAAAAGAAGCACATATTGCAGGTGAAAAAATGCTAACACTCTACCCTTACATTCATGAAAAACCACTTTTCCTAACTGTAAAACGAATAATACCCAGCCACCTCCTGGTATCCAACACACACGTGTAAAAATGTTCTGCAAACCACGAAAGCACTCTAAAATTCAAGTTACATGCTCCCAATCTGCAAAGTGGTAAGCCACATACAGGGACTGGCAAATTTCAGTATACATTTGGTAAGCCATCGTGGATGCATGGTCAGCCAGCTACTGGTTTATCATTCACTCATCCAGTGAACAAATAGTTACGAGTATCCTGCCTCTCTGAAGTTTACATGCTAATAACTCTTAACTTCTCTGTGCTGAGTGGAATGTATTTGGGTTCAGAGTCCTGCAGGCCTGGGTCTGAACTTCTGCCCTGCCTGCCACACTCACTGGGCAGCAAAGGGCACTTCCTCTCTCTGAACCTGAGAACACCACCATTTCCCTCTCAAGATTCACCAGGATAAACTAAGATGACATATACATGTGGTGTACCCATCAGAGAGTCCCTGTCACTTTAGTTACTTAAATCTTGGTGCCATATCTAGATTTCACACATCTTCCACTTTCTAAAATCTCATTTTTAGATTCATTGCTTCAAAAATATCTTTAATATTTGCTATGATTCAGTTTGAGGCTGGAGGAGTGAGAAGATAATTAACCTGATGCAGATCACCAAAACACCTCTGGGTCCTTCCTGGACCCCACGGTCTGCTCTCTCCCACTCTGACCAACACTGACATGCGCTCTGCTCCTAGGCTGTGGGGAAGGCTTGAAGACAGTTATATAACGATGGAGACTGGGCCTCGGTCAAATACAGCACCTAGTGTCCTATTACTTCTGAGAGATTCTTACCTGTTCCTGACAAATTCCTATCGTTTCCCATCCCCACAACATTTCCAAGGCTTCTCTATCCTCTCCACACTTCCCTTCCTTCTCAACTCATGACCTTAGTCGTTAGTGTAAAGTAAACAAAGGCAATGTGACTTACTCTGCCATATTCTCTCTCCTAACCATATTTGAAGGTTTCTTGGGGTCCTGCAGGCCTGGGTCTGAGTTCCTGCCCTGCCACATTTACCGGGCAGCAAAGGGCATGTGTGCCACTTCCTCTCTCTGAACCTGAGAATACCTATGAATTCTGACCCCTCATTCATATGTTGCCATATTAATCATCTCACAGGTTAATCTTTTATGGACAGCTCATTTAGACTGGATATTCCCTTAATGGACAAGTGTTCCCACCCTAACACTATGACCACTAACCAATATGATGCTCTATGGCATTTAACTGCCTGTCCCCTTTGCAACAGCATAGTAGAGTCAAAGAGATGTGGGTTTAAATTTCATCCCGGGGTTAACCAAGTGATCCTACATAACTTATTTACCTATCGAAGCCTCAGTTTCCACATCTGGAAAATGGTGCAATAGCAGGTTATTGAATTTCCTGTACTGGCCCCTGAATTTTTTTTCTCTCCCACTTACCATTTCTTTATCTTTTTGTTCTACTTTCTGGGAGATTTCCTATCTTCCAAATCTTCTACTGAGTTTTTCATTTCTATTATCATGTTTATAATTTTCAAGAGATTGTCTTGGCCCTTGAATATTTCCTCTTTACAGCAACCTCCTCAGAGAGAAATCCTCCATACTTCTATACCCTTGGAATATAAACCTATTTGTCAGTGTCTGGCAGTCAGGAAGCAGAAGTGGATGGGGGGTTTACCCATCAATTTCCCAACTTTCATTTATTCTCCAATTTCCATTATGGTGTCTCATGCTTTTCCTCAGGGGTGTCTATTGTCTCAAAGTCCAGAACCTGTCTGTTCAATCTCTCCAGAAAGTAACTGATAGGGGCAAGCCTACTACTCTGGTGCCCCCAATGAACCATGTCTCCTAGCATTTGCCCCAAGTTTGGGCCCCTCCAACAGTGACTGGGCTTCTTCACATGAGACATTAGCAAGTGTGACACATGATCTCTTGGAAGGCTAACTCTTGGGTTCCATCTGCCATGTGGACAGAAGTCAAAGCTCTCAGACATGCTGGCTGAAGCACCAGTCATATGAAGAGATTAATCCTGGATATTCTAGTCCCAGCTGCCATCTAACTGCAGCTGCATGAGAACTCAAGCAAACCCAGCAGAAGAACCTCCCAGCTGAGCCCTAGCTAACCTAACCCACAGAATCATGAGAAATAAAATGGTTGTTTCAAGCCACTAAGTTTTGGTATACTTTGTCATATAACAAAATAATGAAGGCACAGGCTTCCAAACACCCTGTGTTTAGCCCTTCCCTATACATGGAGCTCTTTCATCATTACAGTTTTTAAGATCTTAGACTTTATTTCTAAAGCACAGTTAGAAGACTAGTGGGAAGAAGCCCAACTAGATACCAATAGCATGATTATTGACGATAACAATAATCATTTTATGGGAGAGTAAGGGATTAATCCCATACTTTAATGACTAGAAGTTTTTTAAACCCTTTTAAAATTTAGAACTACATTAATGTTAAGCCAATAAACAAAGCAAGTCAGAGGACTGAGAATATATCCCAGGGTTCATAAACTTGTGCCTTCAGTAGCCAAGGGAGTAATATAAAGTTTTAAAAACCACCAAAACGAAAACACTTTTTCTGCCAAGGCACCTGCAAGAGGGCAGTGATTCCTATCCTTAAACACAGAAGGATCTACAAAAATTGGCCTGCCTCCAGCTCCTGTACATGTGCTCTAGTGTCCTAGTTCACTACTAACATCTTGTTGATTTAGACAGATTCCATTTTTTAATATACGCAGAACAAAGTCTTGTTTCTTCCTTTAACTTGGAGATGGCACTTTCTTTTCTCTTCAGATCCATGTTCCTCCTAT